CATATGTATGGAACAAGGCACTAAAGTAATATTGCAAAGGAATACACTTTTTGGCCTAAATGCAAAGCCTTATGTTTGGGGCAAACAACACATCACTGAGTAACTGCCTCTTTATTTTCAAGCATGGTGGTGTCTGCAACATGGTATGGGTATGCTTGACATTGACAAAGACTGGGGAGTTTCTCAGGATGAAAAGAAACTGGATGGAGCTAAACACAGGCAAAATCCTAGTGGAAAACCTGCTTCAGTCTGCTTTACACCAGACACTGGGAGAGGATTTCACCTTTCAGCAGGACAATAACCTACAACACAAAGCCAAATCTACACTGGAGTTGCTTACCAAGAAGACAGTGAATGTTCCTGAGTGGCCTAGTTACAGTTTTGACTTAAATCTGCTTAGAAATCTATGGCAAGACTTGAAAATTGCTGTCTAGCCATGATCCCCAACACCTTGACAGAGCTTGAAGAAATTTGAAAAGAATAATGGGCAAATATTGCACAATACAGGTGTGTAAAGCTCTTATGAGACTTACCCAAGAAGACTCACAGCTGTAATCGCTGTCAAAGGTGTTTTTTAAACATGTATTTACTCAGGGGGGTGAATACTTATCTAATCAAGGTATATTACTTTTATTTTTCATAAATCTTTAAAAAATATAATTTCTCTTTCACTTTGACATTAAAGAGTATTTTGTGTAGATTGTTGATTTAAAAAAAGACAATTCACCCATTACAATCCAAGCCCTGTCTAAGCCTGGGGATGGGGGGGACGGTTCTACTAAGCTATATGGAATTGTTTTAAGAAGGTCATACCAAGGATAATTTTTCTATTTGATTTGGAATATTAAGACTCCTTGAAGTATAAAAAATATATATAAAAAGTTATTTGATTAAACATTTTATTTGTCCTTACTGCTATTAGCCCATACAAAAGCATTGAATAACATATTCAAAACATGGAACAACAGATAGTCCCCCCAAAAAATCTAAAGGAAGTTTGTTCTGAAGTGTATATATGGAAAATGTGTATATATATGTGGAAAATATTTAATCCCTTATTTTTGGCACTAAACAATCTCCATATGCATTCGGAAAGTATTCATACCCCTAGACATTTTCCACATTTTGTTACGTTACAGCCTTATTCTAAAATTGATTAAATTGTTTTTTTTACCCCATAATGACAAAGCAAAAACTGTTTTTTAGATTTTTTTGCAAAAAAAATTAAAACTGATATCACATTTACATAAGTATTCAGACCCTTTACTCAGTACTTTGTTGAAGCACCTTTGGCAGCGATTACAGCCTCAAGTCTTCTTGGGTATTACGCTACGGGCTGTCATGTTCCTTTTACAGAAGAATTCTGGAGCTCTGTCTGAGTGACCATAGGGTTCTTGGTCACCTCTCTGACCAAGGCCCTTCCCTCCCGATTGCTCAGTTTGGCCGGGCGGCCAGCTCTAGGAAGTGTCTTGGTGGTTCCAAACTTCTTCCATTTAAGAATGATGGAGGCCACTGTGTTCTTGGGGACCTTCAATGCTGCAGACATGTTTTGGTAACCTTCCCCAGATCTGTGCCTCGACACAATCCTGTCTTGGAGCTCTACGGACAATTCCTTCGACCTCATGGCTTGGTTTTTGCTCTGACATGAACTGTCAACTGTGGGACCTTATATAGACAGGAGTGTGCCTTTCCAAATCATGTCCAATCAATTGAATTTACCACAGGTGGACTCCAATCAAGTTGTAGAAACATCTCAAGGATGATCAATGGAAACTGGATGCACCTGAGCTCAATTTCTAGTCTCATAGCAAAGGGTCTGAATACTTATGTAAATAAGGTATTTCTGTTTTTTATTTAATCCATTTTAGAATATGGCTGTAAAGGAACAAAATATGGAAAAAGTCAATGGGTCTGAATACTTTCCGAATGCACTAATGTACACATTTTTCAACTGGTACCGGGGGACCTTCAGACAAGTCTTGAGGCCTGTGGGCGTCTTAGAGCAAAACCTTTCTACAGATGGGTCATGTTAGTGTGTAGTCCAAACTGTTTCGGACGCTACAAACAGAGGTTGGCAGATCGGCTGTACCGACTTCAGATGAGTCCCTGTACCCAAGAAAACAAAGGTAACTGAACTAAATGACTATCGCCCTGTAGCACTCACCTCTGTCATCATGAAGTGCTTTGAGAGACTAGTCAAGGATCATATCACCTCTACCTTACCTGTCACCCTAGACCCACTTCAATATGCTTACCGCCCCAATAGATCCACAGACAATGCAATCGCCATCACACTGCACACTACCCTATCCCATCTGGACAAGAGGAATACCTATGTAAGAATGCTGTTCATTGACTATAGCTCAGCATTCAACACCATAGTACCCTCCAAGCTCATCATTAAGCTTGAGGGTCTGAACCCCGCCCTGTGCAACTGGGTCCTGGACTTCCTGACGGGCCGCCCCCAGGTGGTGAAGGTAGGAAACAACATCTCCACTTCGCTGATCCTCAACACTGGTGCCCCACAAGGGTTCGTGCTCAGCCCCTTCCTGTACTCCCTGTTCACCCATGACTGCGTGGCCAAGCACGCCTCCAACTCAATCATCAAGTTTGCAGACGACACAACAGTAGTAGGCTTGATTACCAACAATGACGAGACCGCCTACAGGGAGGAGGTGAGAGCTCTGGGAGTGTGGTGCCAGGAAAATAACCTCTCACTCAACGTCAACAAAAAAAAGGAGATGATCGTGGACTTCAGGAAACAGCAGAGCGTGCACCCCCCTATCCTCATCGACGGGACCGCAGTGGAGAAGGTGGAAAGCTTCAAGTTCCTTGGCGTACACATCACCGACAAACTGAAATGGTCCACCCACGCAGACAGTGTGGGGAAGAAGGCGCAACAGAGCCTCTTCAACCTCAGGAGGCTGAAGAAATTTGGCTTAGCTCCTAAAACCCTCACAAACTTTTACAGATGCACAATTGAGAGCATCCTGTCGGGCTGTATCATCGCCTGGTACGGCAACTGCACCGCCCGCAACCGCAGGGCTCTCCAGAGGGTGGTGCGGTCTGCCGAATGCATTACCGGGGGCAAACTACCCGGCCTCCAAGACACATACAGCACCCGATGTCACAGGAAGGCCAAAAAGATCATCAAGGACATCAACCACCCAAGCCACTGCCTGTTCACCCCACTATCATCCAGAAGGCGAGGTCAGTACAGGTGCATCAAAGCTGGGACCGAGAGAATGAAAAACAGCTTCTATCTCAAGGCCATCAGACTGTTAAATAGCCATCACTAGCACATTAGAGGCTGCTGCTGCCTACTGAAATCACTGGCCACGTTAAGAAATGGAACACTAGTCACTTTAATAATGTTTACATATCTTGCACTACTCATCTCATATGTATATACTGCATTCTATTCTATAATATTCTACTGTATCTTAGTCCATGCTGCTCTGTCATTGCTTGTCCATATATGTATTCTTAAATCCCATTCCTTACTAGTTTTGTGTGCATTAGGTATATGTTGTGAAATTGTTAGATACTTCTTGTTAGATATTACTGCACTGTCGGAGCTAGAAGCACAAGCATTTCGCTACACCCGCTATAACATCTGCTAAACACGTGTATGTGACAAATACAATTTGATTTGATTTGATTTGACACTTGGAGGGGGGGGGGCCTTGAGCAAATCTTTCCATAGAGGGGTCATAATATAGAGGATTTTCGGGATGCCTCATGGTCTGACAAACACTGCTCTAGCTCTGTCACCTTTAACCGCAAGTTCGACATTGCGGTGGATTGAGATGCATCCAATGCAAAAAAACGGATATCTCTAGCTTAAACTGATGGATTTTTATGGGGACATCGACTCTAGGGGGTTAAATCCATTTTAATCCCACTTTGTAACACAATAAAATGTAAAGAAATCCAAGGGGGTTGTAGACTTTCTATAGGCACCATAAATATTCCAAGCGTCTGAAATGGAATCTTCTAAAGTCAAACTGACAACATATGGGACTGAGATAGGGCAGATGGACAAATACAGTCAATAAACAGTAGAGTACTGTAGAGCTACCACATTTGCTAACCTTACCATAAACGTTCTGAAGTGCTCTTGTTATTTAATGCTCAATGTCGTTTTTAGGGTCCATTGTACACTGTTATTGAGTTAGAGATGTGTCAATGTGAATTGAAGTCAGCCAATTCATGTAGTAAACTGAAATTCCAATTCAATGTTTGAGAAAATATCTTATTTTTTTATTTTACTTTTTAATAAATCAAAAAGGAGAAACTGTTTATTTAAAAGTGTTCAAATTCCTTCCTGAATTGACTGACTTCAATTCGAATTGACCATGGTCTGAAACTGGAATGACGTCATAGTTTCTGAGAGCAGCAGCGTGTAGCGTCTCTTAAGGGGATTTCCTCCTGATGCCCAATCCTCTTGATGCCTTCTAAGACGGACACTTCATCTGCCTCTTTATCCTGTCTCTTAGCCACCTCCGACTGCTTAACTGCACTGTAATACACTCTCAATCCAAAGAGTCTTCTCACCTGGTCAAAATCACTGACTGATTCATATCAGTGTCCAGTGATGGGACCATTAGATCACATACAAGAACGAACGTGAAGGTGAAGGTGTGCAAAAAACCCACATGTTAAAGAAGTAGCTAACGTTAGTCATTGTGAAAAGCCCCCTTAGTGCCCACTCTGAGCACTTGTTGATTGCAGGCTCCTTGAAACAGTTGTAGAAAAAAAGATGAGGGGTAACCACCAAACGCTGTTCATGGAAAGGACTTTACAGGATTCTGTACCAACTCACATTAGTTGTCGATAACGTTTTACCCCAAGAAACAGTTCTTCAAGAAAGACATGGACACGAGAGAGTGTTTGTTGCTTTGTCATAAACGTGCCAAATAGTGCAAGTTTATGCAATGTGCTGGAGTCCTTCTACCAGTTCACTTCACTTGTTTGCTTCTCCTCCGCATTGAAGATCTATGATGTTACTGTAGGTGTGCAAAAGCCAATCTATTCTTCGCTTTGACATTGTCCCCTATACGCTAACCCTGGCCGCTATACCCTGTTTTGCAGTGGCCTGGACAGTTCCTCCTGCTTCCAGGTGTTGTCTCTGCTGAAGGCCCTGGCGCATGGTGGCCGCACCGTCATCTGCACCATCCACCAGCCCAGCGCCAAGCTCTTTGAGCTCTTCAACAAGGTCAGCCTCCAACCTGAGTCGCAGATCTGTTTGAGTTGTCTTACCAACACCTACGTCATTGGCGTGACAACATAAACAGATCTGGGATTCAGGCTAGCGTAATGCATGGGAATCTATGAAAGGCACAATGATACCACAGGATCACGGTTGGAAATTAGATATGTAGCTAGCTAGACATGTGGCGTAATACTTATGCATGGTCCCCAACAAGTTAACACATCAACAGGCTAATGTAGTTGTTTAACAAAGTAAAAACAAACTATGTGTGCTTGGTATATACCTAAATACAAACTATGTGTGCTTGGTAAATGTAAATGTATATACAGTACCTAGTGTGACTTACCTAAAAGAGCGCAACTACAGGGTCGTCTTTACTTGTTGCTTTGCCCCTAATGCCAATGATTCCAATGCTAACTGAATTGAACTAAGTTATTTTAATAACTAAATGAATGGTCTGCAAAATGAATGTACTGTATCCTGATTGCTTCGTGCCCCTGTGTTTCCCTCCCTAGCTGTATGTCCTTAGCCAGGGCCAGTGTATCTACAGAGGGAAAGTGGCTAACCTGGTCCCCTACCTTAGAGAGCTGGGGCTCAACTGCCCAACGTACCACAACCCTGCAGACTTTGGTGAGAAACTCCTACCAGTTTAATGAGAAACAAGTCAAATGTGTTTTCATCATTGTTATAATCACCTTATTTACACATGTATATCAGTGTATTCGGGAATCTGCCTTATCTTCTTAGAATAACTGTCCCTGAAAGTTATTTTAGTATACTTTGGTATAAAGTGTTCTAGAAACTATTCTATCTATTAGTTCAACTGAAAATTCATTTTCTCAGAATAACTTTTACAGATGGTTCCTCATGCAATATTCACTGGGGTTTCTGTGACATGCGTACCTCTCTCTCCATTTGATCCCAGTGATGGAGGTGGCGTCTGGGCAGTACGGAGATCAGACGGCTCGTCTGGTGAACGCTGTGCAGGAGAGGAAATGTGAGCAGGTCTACAAGACAGACATGAACAATGGACCCCTCAACCCCTTCCTGTGGCACAAATCTTCTGAGGAGGTAAAAGGGGGATTAGTGTATTCCTACAGCTCTCAGTGGGTTGAAATGAAGAATCTTATTGAAGTTATATTTTCAGAGTCAAAGCATTTCATTTCAATGTTTCAGGAAAGAGATGTTGAGAGGCCTTACCACGTCAGGTTGTTCAGTCACTGTTTTTCTCTCTCTCTATCTCTCTCCAACCCTCTCCAATCCTCTCAGGACTCCTCTTCCGGTGAGGGCTGCCACGGTTTCTCGGCCAGTTGTCTGACTCAGTTCTGCATCCTGTTCAAAAGGACGTTTCAATGCATCATTAGAGATACGGTAAGACAGACTTTGTACTGCAACAGCTTCCTTTTTAAAATAGCCAAATGTTACGTAATGAACCCCAAACACTTTAATAAGATTCAAGGCATATCAAAAGGATAACAGAGGAAAAAACTAAATTCAACAAATTGGTATGAGAACATCATAACAGAAATAAAAAAGACATCTATTCATACCATACTTTGCTCATCCTCCACTATCATAACCACTCCATTTCCCCTTCTCATCTACTCCTCTACGCCATCCTTCCGCTTCCTCTCAATCAAATGTATTTTATAAAGCCCTTTTTACATTAGCAGTTGTCACAACGTGCTTTACAGATACCCAGCATAAAACCCCAAAGAGCAAGCAATGCAGATGCAGAAGCACAATGGATAGGAAAATATATCAACAAAACATTATTTCTCTTCTTCTCCTGTTCTGGCCCTACAGGTGCTGACTCACCTAAGAATCTCCTCTCACATTGGGATTGGGATTCTGATTGGCCTGCTCTACCTGGGCATTGGCAACGATGCCAAGAAAGTGCTCAGCAACTCCGGCTTCCTCTTCTTCTCCATGCTCTTCCTCATGTTTGCTGCTCTCATGCCTACTGTTCTGACCTGTAAGTGTTCTCAGCTCTTCTTACTGACAGACATCTGCATGCATTGATTTAGTGCATGAATTTACAACAGTCGTAAGCCATTGCATACAGTATGTTAGGAGTAGACCTTGGCATTGTTTCCGATTACTATGACGCTGTTTTCTCTGTCTCTCTAATGCAGTCCCTTTAGAGATGGGAGTGTTCCTAAGAGAGCACTTGAACTACTGGTACAGCCTGAAGGCTTACTATCTGGCCAAGACTATGGCGGACCTCCCCTTCCAGGTAATTACAATGTCACATAGAACTCTGGAGGGTCATTTTTAGTAGTGTGTCGTGTCCCAAAAAATCTGTAAATTGGTATTTCATCAAAATGTAAAAAAGTTGCGAGAAAAAAATACAAAAAACATTACGATTCTAGCATTCACTGAAAAGAGCAAAGGTATTGTAACTGAAGAATGTTATGGGAGCTGAAAGTGGCTTTAGCATCGAGGTCAAAAAGCAATTCTGTCCGTCAGATTTAGACAAATTCCACAATAACATTACATAAGAAGGCTTTACGCGTCACCAGACATCGCCCTGTGCTCTAAATTAAAAGTGACAAAGGTTTACTGCATGTTTTCATTTATTGTATTGAATTTGTATTGTATTGAACCTAATTTGGCTTTTTTCAACAATACAAAAGGATTATTTCAAAGCACACAACGCTTGGCTTTGATTCTCCACATGAAGAAAAGTGTTTTAGTTTGATGTTTTAATGATACTCAATGTGTTTTCCATGGTGAGATATTGTTGGCTGAACATGAGGAATGTGATGTGGCCATATCACAATCCGAGATAACAACAGCTTATCCTGCTGTTGTGCCCTTCAGCAAGGCACTTAACCACCTACACGACCCTGGGGGTGCTGCTCTGACACTGTCCTTCCAATCTGTCACTGTGTGGTTGGGCTTGTGTGGAACCGTACATGCGTGTGTTGGGGGTCGAGAGAAAAAAAGCTGACAGGACAATTTCTGTGTCCACAAATGGACAATCAAGTCTTTTTCTTCTTTTTCTTCACAGATAGTGTTCCCAGTCGCCTACTGCAGCATCGTCTACTGGATGACGTCCCAGCCACCTGATGCTGTGCGTTTCATCCTTTTCTTGGCCCTGGGAGTCCTAACCTCTCTTGTCGCCCAGTCTCTGGGCCTGCTGATAGGAGCGGCTTCCACCTCGCTACAGGTACGTCCTCCATTTTCTCAATACTAACACATGATAACAACTGCTATACCTATTGTTTGCAGCTTGAGAATTGCAAATAAACTCTATTGTGACCATTCCGGCTGAGTATTGTTATTATTAGCAAATTCCGGCTGAGTATTGATATTATTTGCTCATAAAAAATATATTTTGTGCTTGGGGCTGGTCTAAGGGTAGTGCCGCCCCGTACCACATGTGCCCTTGGAGGCAGTGTTTCAATCCCCTGTTCCACCTCTCACTCTCTCTGCTGTATTCCTCTCATCTGTCCCCCCATCTACATTTATACCTTGTATCTGTAAATACAATTTTTTAAAATTAATTAAACAAATATTTATACATTTTTAACTATATTTCCTGGCACAATCACACCAACCACATTGTATTTACACAGTACCCACCTATAGTATATTAATATAATTATATGTTTCTCAGAGTGGTACCCAATTTTATTCTAAGCAGACACTATTAACCGCAGTATGTTGCACTTGTCCATGTCTCAGGTTGCCACGTTTGTAGGTCCGGTGACTGCCATACCCGTACTACTTTTCTCTGGCTTCTTCGTCAGTTTTGACACAATTCCGTGGTATCTTCAGTGGATGTCATACATTTCATATGTCAGGTAAATCGTTTTTCAGATACTTTTCAGACATACAAGGGCCCTGACTTTTTCCTGACCATGTGACCTGCCCCTAATACTGAGAAGGTACCATGTATTCAGCACTTGTAGGGGAAAGTGGGGTATGTTGAGCCAAAGGGGTTAATTGAGCCACTCCTTGTTTCTAGGAAACCATACACAAAATTAATAATGTGACCAAATATTTAGGAAGAGGTCATCATTTCATTAAGTATGTGAAGGAAGAAACAATATGGAAAAAGTGGTAAGCAAGTTAGGTCCAAAAAACAGATTTTCACAAATTCAAATGAATTGATTGTGTTATAGGTTTCATGATGCTTGTATCTAAACCGAAGTAAATCGTTTTAAGATTGTTTTATACATCAGTTGGGGTCTCTATAAGCTACAATATGAGGTCCTAAACCTAGCATGAAAGTGCATCCTTGTAACTGTGTGGGCTAATATAGTCCAAATGTTTGCCTTGGGGTATGTTGAGCTAATTGCCATGGGATAAATTGAGCCCCCCCAAAAATCTGTTTTATGCATAGTATTTTTGCAATGTGTCATGCATATGAATTCAAGATAGTGCATTTTTATTGTTATAGAGCAGACATCATCATGCGCCGTGTATACAAATATAAAACAAGCAGGGGTCTAGTCCCAATTGAGGTTCTTGAGAGAGCAGCCAAGGAAGTGAGAGAAGTGAAGAAGTCCATTCGAGCAGCAGCAAGGGATGAAAAAATTTACTGAATGACACTGAAGAGGTACATTGAAAAAAAAGAAACCGAACATGCATCTGTGCGAAAGAGTGTCTATGATAGAGGAGCAGAGGCACACAAGGTCTTGTCTGATGACATGGAGTCTGAGCTTCTTAAACATATCACGAATCTCGTGGACCAGTTTCATGGGCTTAGTGTTTCATGGGCTTAGTGTTTCATGGGCTTAGTGTTTCATGGGTGTAGTGTTTCATGGGCTTAGTGTTTCATGGGTTTAGTGTTTCATGGGTGTAGTGTTTCATGGGCTTAGTGTTTCATGGGCTTAGTAGCCTTAGTAGCCTCAGAGAACTTGCCTACAAATTGGCACTTAGAAACAACATCCCTTTCTCAGACAACTGGTCAAGAAATGGATGGGTATGGAAGGGAACAGAGAGATCTACTGTATATTTGAATGTAGGCATACATTTAAGATATATACAATATACCACACCCCCATTCCATGAATTCAACTTTGACCTACCAGCACCATCACCCACAGGACACCATCACCAATTTACCACAAGGCGGCTCAACTTACCCTGACCCTATGCTCAACTTACCCCATACCCGGGGTAAGTTGTGCCAAGTGACCACTTTTTTTGGACAAGCTATGTTTTAAAAACTGTTATGTTTACATGAATTCTGATTATTTCCTACATCCTGAAATATATGTAGATATCTTTCTTAGAAATAATTATATATACTGAGCAAAAAATATAAACGCAACATGCAACAATTTCAAAGATTTTACTGAGTTACAGTTCATATGAGGAAATCAGTCAAATTAGGCCCTAATCTATGGATTTAACATGACTGGGATTATAGATATGCATCTGTTGGTCACAGATACCTTTAAAAAAATGGGGCCTCAGGATCTTGTCATGGTATTTCTGTGCATTCAAATTGCCATTGATAAAATACAATTGTGTTTGTTGTCCGTAGCTTATGCCTGCCCATACCATAACCCCACCGCCACCATGCGGCACTCTGTTCACAACGTTGACATTAGCAAACTGCTCGCCCACACGACGCCATACACGTGGTCTGCTGTTGTGAGGCCAGTTAGACATACTGCCAAATTCTCTAAAATGAAATTGGAGGCGGCTTATGGTAGAGAAATGAATGGTAAATTATCTGGCAACAGCTCTGGTGGACATTCCTGCAGTCAGCATGCCAATTGCATGCTCCCTCAAAACTTGAAGACATTTGTGGCATTGTGTTGTGTGACAAAACTGCACGTTTTAGAGTGGCCTTTTATTGTCCTTAGGCACAAGGTGCACCTGTGTAATGATCATACTGTTTAATTAGCTTCTTGATATGCCACACCAGTCAGGTGGATGGATTATCTTGGCAAAGGAGAAATGCACACTAACAGGGATGTAAACAATTTGTGCACAAAATTTGAGAGAAATAAGCTTTTTGTGCGTATGGAACATTTCTATGATCTTTTATTTCAGCTCATGAAACATGGGACCAACACTTTACATGTTGCGTTTTTATATTTTTGTTCAGTGTATTTCCATTTACGTAGGGATGCTGAATGTAAAAAATGGCTCAACTTACCCCACTCCCCCCTACTGTTCGTCCTCTTTAGCAGCACCATAAAGCAGTTCCTATTATTTTGTAGGTATGGCTTTGAAGGTGTCATCCTCTCCATCTACGGCCTGGACCGGAAGGACCTCCACTGCGACAAGGATGAAACCTGCCACTTCCAGAAGTCGGAGGCCATCTTGAAAGAGCTTGACGTGGAAGATGCCAAACTGTACCTTGACTTCATAGTGCTCGGCATGTTCTTTGTGAGCCTCCGCCTCCTCGCATACTTTGTGCTGCGCTATAAGATCAGTGCAGAGAGGTAGACTGTAGAGTGGGGGTAGGAGGAAGAAGGCCCAGATCGCTTGCAAGCTGGAATACCGCTTCTGGAGACCTCCAGCAGTGTCCCAGAAACACACCATGCACACCAAACTCTTGGCCAAAGACTACAGAATATAGACGCCCGTTGTGTGGGTGTGCATGCAGTATGAATCTACTTTGCTTAGACAAACAAAGATGGCAGAGAGGAGCTCAGTGCCTCAGGCCATGGCTGATTCCCAATATTACAAGACCATTCTTGTTTAAAAACCAAAACCATTGGTTTATTGAAGGCAAGGCTCCTGGCACAGTAGGAATCTAGATGTAATCGCCTTGTGCAGTATTTGTTTGTGCAACGGAACCAACTAAGTAATGTAAGACATTGTTGTTGATAGGCTCTTGTGTAGTCTGTAGTTTCCAGACTGGTTTGTATGACCACTGTGTGAAACTAATTAAAATAAATGGCTTGGTGGAAGGACAATGGGAAGACAGGGCCTCACTTAAACAGGAGCTGTATATTATAAAGGACTGCCAGATCAAATGGGGCTCTAATCCAGGACCCTCAGTAAATAAAGTGAAATGTACAATATTGCTAGTTGCTAATATGGGATAAAGCAATCACGTACATTCTGAGCATGTGAGAGACTGTACAGTACCGGTATATAGTTTATCTGGGGTGAGTTTCCCGAAAGCGAACGTGGCATGTGGTGCTCGACAACCCAGCCTCTCAGGCGCAAGCGAGTAACATCTATGCTTGAACAAACTAATTAATCAAATCAAGCACGTTCTACGAGTGCTGTGGGCGTGCGTCTGGGTTTTTGAGAGAAATAAAGTACCACGTTAGTATCCCTGGTCAGAGGCCTGTGGTTGTGATTATAGGGCTTGAATAGTTTCAGGAAGATATGGGGGATTTGAATTCTGATGTGACTGTGGCAGGCTTAACATTACAGGCCAGAATCCTAACCTGAGATCTGAGCATGTAACGCCAAGTTAAGCATTACATTATCTCAAGCATTACCAACACAGCTTAGTTTGAATGGAATGGAGGATACATACTCTTTTAGTCACTCACAGTCAGTCATGTAAAAGAGAATTGAGAGTGAAGAGCATTTTACACTAGTTAGTCCTCTGTCACAAAATAAAATCATAACGAGACATTTTCACTGCAGGAAATATGGGCGCAGTAGCGCGAAAGGGCTGGATTTTGATTAATAAATAATTTGGAGGCTTGACCCCTCACTGGCCAATCAGAACGTGCTCCATTGCTAAATATGTGGTTGCTTCAAGTTGTGTATTTACAGTCTTTTATGTTGTGCATTGTCATCAATGCCAATTTGAATGTTTGTCCGCTATAGCCTAGTTTGTTAAATAGCCTACAGAAACAAAATAACTTTGCTAAATACGTTGAACATGTTGGCAGTCCACATTGTTCTAAGTAATTGTATTGCTTAAATATGGATATATTTTGTTAAACATAGCATTCACACTGATATAGGAGCTAGGCCTACTGTAAATGTCATTATGGCTGAGCCATGGACATGCCAAAGGTTGTCAATGAGCAAGATAAAATTCACTATTGATAAGGCCTAGAAAGAGAGTGAATAATTCTAACCAAAACAAAACAACAAGTTGTTTTAAGTAGGCTATGTCTAAATACAGTTAGGCACCATAATTGCTCCCCTTCGGCATATAATATTAAGGCACAGAAGCTGGACAAAGATCCGATATAAAGAGAATGTCCACTCACCGTTATACTGCTCCCAAATATGTTTTATAAACATAACGGAACCATTTTACAGATCGCATTCACACTTCTCCAGAAATAGCAGACGGCTCCTAAATTCCATTGCATGCGAGCTGAACGTTCTCATCCTAAAGCCAGGCCGGTGAATCATTTTAATACGTTTGATTTTTAATCAAATACATTTTTTTAACAACTATATTTCTAAATAGCTTGAGGTCAGAAGCATGATATCATTAAAATTGACAGGATAAAAAAAGACTATGGATTGCTGTTGAACCAGCCTTCATTATAAATTAGCTACAGTGATGCTTGAGATTATGAATATGAAGTTGGAAAAATTGTGACGTTTCCCTTTAAGGGTAGCCTACAGGAGGGCTTGGTTTTTAATCATATGAAACAGAAAACAAGCAATTGTTATAGGAAAATAAGTTCTAAATGGTCACCAGCATCAACTCATCTCTCGTTTCATGATGGGCAGATGGACACGTGTAGCCTACATGGAGGGTTTTTTAAGCACGTCCAAAACGGAAGCTGGCTAAAATATAATAGGCCTACACAATACATATATAAAAAGGGGAGGCCACTTACTGTTTTGCTGCTCCCAAACTTGAATTTTTAATTAAGTTTTGGTGGTTAAGATTTATTTCAAAGCAGTTTCATGAGCCAAACCCTTTATTGATTGACTTGGTTACTTGGCGAACGCATTGGGCAGGACAAAAAAAACAGCCTTCATTGAGAGGAGGGGAGGCTATATGCACAGTTTTTAATAAAATGAAACCAAATAATACAATTACCTGCACAAAAAGCACATCTCCTCTCTTGTTCCATGAGCATAAAGGCACTGGATAGGTTGCACTTCCGCTCACAAAATCCTTGCCATTACCAACCGCGTTACCGCTAAGACCTTCTTTTCATTGGTCTTAAATCTCCCGATATGTGCTGCATGAAATTGTCACTTTTGTGCTTGTTTTCAAGGGCACACCTCAAATATTGCCACAGCGCAAGCGAGCTGATATTAGACTGATACATTGCTGAACCTGGCACATGGGGTGGACATTTTTACATACTGAAATAGTGCGTTTGGCACTTATGCTGCCGTAGCTCCAGCCGAAAATGGAGCCCTGAGCTTCTTCTCTTGTGATAGGTTTGCGCCCTGTGAAAAGGAAATTATATGACCTTATGGCAGCTTGTCCATATACATGGCTTTTATTTGTTTACCATAGTGAGGGGAACATGCACTGGCCACATGTGTAAACCTCAAGAGTATTGGAATGAATAGCAAAGTGAATGCATTAAAGGGATAGTTCACCCAAATTACAAAAGTAAATGTATTTTATTACCCTGTAAGTAGTCTATGGACAAGTTAAGACAGCAATCTATGCTTTGTCTTTGTTTACCTGGCCACTGTCTTCAAATGCTAACTTTTTAGCATGTGTGGCACAATTACTATATGTAATTAGGGTAAACTATCCCTTTAAGTTGTGAAATAGGCATTAAAAGGATGTACAGGTTGCAAAGTATGACAGCAGAATTGCTTGAAACAAATTCAACTGCTCAATCTCTTTTGTGGTTTACTTATATGGCCTGAAAAATATACTTGTATATATTTTTTATTAAACATCAGACTATTTCATACTGCCTTTGACTACCTAAGGTTATATTCTCATCATCTGTAAGGTTCTACAGACAACAGGGTTGGGGTCAATTTATTATTGAATTGGAACTTTTATTTACTTCCTGAATTGACTGACTTCAATTCGAATTGACCCCAACCCTGACAAACACTCCGCTGTACATAGTCATGGTTATAACACACCATATGCATTAAAACATATGGAACCAGCTGCACATTGGAACTAATGATGTTGATTCAATTGCACTACAATATTGATTATCAATCCATTATTCAATTCCATAATTCCACATCAAGAATCATGTAAATTTTCAGAAAAGTGTTGGCCTACATACTATGATTAATTTTTTTAACTTTAAAACAACTTGACACACTTTACATAATGTGATACTGCAAATGTCAATGCAAAACTTTTGTAAAACATGATAATATGCTCTTGTAGATTGGTATGTTTTTGTCATTACTTGATTTTGTGTTGCAATATTTCACACACAGTTGAAACTATAATAAAACCACTGCAGAGGAAATGTTGCAACATGTTTTCAGTACATAGGATATTATTATTAAATATGTTAATTAGGCTTGCTGGGGATGAGGAGGCTTTTAAAGTTTGTAATGTTTAGACAAACCTCACTCTGAAGTTCTGAACTCAATGGAACAGCTTTTTTATCAAGAATGTGGGGCATTACCACATTCTTTTTTGTACATTGGATTGTTTTGCCGATTTCTTTAGCTTTTCCTCCTTTTCCTCCTCTTTATCACTACACAATACACAGAGTATACCAAACATTAAGAACACCTTCCTAATATTGAGTTGCACCTCCTTCCTTTTCCCCTCAGAACAGCCTCAATTTGTCGGGCCATGGACTCTACAAGGTGTCGAAAGCGTTCCACAGGGATGCTGGCCCATGTTGACTCCAATGCTTCCCACAGTTGTGTCAAGTTGACTGGGTGTCCTTTGGGTGGTGGACCATTCTTGATACACACGGGAAACTGTTGAGCAAGAAAAACATAGCAGCGTTGCAGTTCTTGACACAAACCAGTGTGCCTGGCACCTACTACCATACCCCGTTCAAAGGCACTTATGTATTTTGTCTTGCCCATTCACCCTCTGAATGGCACACATACACAATTCAAGTCTCAATTGTCTCAAAGCTTAAAAATCCTTCTTTAACCTGCCTCCTCCCCTTCATCAATAAGGGATCATAGCTTTCACCTGGAAAGAGCAGGTGTCCTTAATGTTTTGTATACTCAGTGTAGATTACCTCATGGTAAACTGCAGACCCTTTTATCTACCAAGAGAGTCTACATCCCGCTCCATAATGTTTTGTAGGTCGATTCTTGCATCAAACTAAAGCTGTATTTTAATAATGTTTTATTTTCAAGTGTTGAGATACTCAGTTCAAAGCTCATATTTTCTGTAAAGTGAATACTGTTACGTATTAATGAAATGAATAAAGTTGCAATATTTTTCACATGGCTTGTTTTGATTAGTCTATTTTGATCCCCACATAATTGTATTGGGTACTAGGGGTGGGTTATAGGTTTCACACACTCAAACACAAACATGACAGATAAAAATGCCAGACAAATAACATCCAGAACAAACTCAATCTGATAGGCACATATTTCTCTGTTGATAACATCTAAACAATGATAAAGTAACCATCCTCATGGTTTTATTATTTTGAAGTTCATTAAATGCCAACCATTTAAATTCATGATATTTGTTTGGAGTACCCTTTAAGCATGCTTGCACTTATCTTTCTCTCAGGACTTCAAATTGTCATTGACGTGAGCAGACGGTTTTTCCAACAGGAAGATGATGTCTACCTACTTCGCTCATTAATAGTCATTCAAAGGGCAAACAATCCAAAGACAGTATTTTTTAAATTTCGGAACAATATCTCAGTTTTCTTATGCCCCATGGGATCCTTGTTATTCATCAGTAAATATAATGCAACCACTGTCTAAACAGGACACTACCTCTGTCGGCTTAATTCGGTTAGGGTAAGAGAACTATAGCGGAAAAGTAAAGTACAAATATACGATTGCTTGTATATTTAATACATTTTGTTTGGATTCTTTTGATAGATGATTGTATGGTTTCAAAGTAGCACAGTACAGATAACAGTACAGATGGTAAAGTCTATATGGCAGGGAATAGAAAACAATAATTGTATACACCTTTGTAGGAGTACAGTATGACTATATACTGACAATGATGCAGATGTCAGATCTTAATTTGACCAGTTTCTTCGCAGGAGTAAAATAATCCTGCAGCAGGAGGATTTGATTATTCTCGAAAATGTTCATCATTTCTAACAGGAAATTAGTTCTGATAGGCTATAGTTTAGGTGTAGCCTACGGCTGCATTTTGGATACACTTGTATATCGTAGTAGAGACCAATATCTATCTTGTGTTATTAAGCTATATAAAACAAAGGTTGTTGATGTGTATGGCTGCATTTCAGATACATTTTTTATATTTGAATGTTGCAGTAGTAGGACATTTGTCCTGTCTGGTGCTTTAGAGTTTGAGAGAGAGAAGGATAACTCTGGGTTTTCAGTGAATTTATGTAAATCACGAGGCTCATTTGAATTTCCTGCAGCACAGGAATATCCTCTGGGACAACAGAGTGATACAATTAGGATACGACATCTGTACTTGGTCCCACTTTGAACAATCATCAAACTCAAGGATCGCTCAGTGATGTGTAGGACATCCATGCATATACCACAACATATCACCAGATGGCAGAATTACCAAACTAATCAGAT